ATAATTTGCTACCAAGTAAGCAAATATATCTTTATCTCATTTGTTTATTAACTAATAAACAGACTTCGAATCATTACTCTGGTAGAACGAAAATCTGCACCATGTATTGTTTCAGGAAATCAAATATATATCTATGGGGGATTTGATGATCTATATAGTATGATTAAATTAGATACATTAAATTTGATATGGTCGATATATTATCCAGGATTTATGGCACCTATCGGTCTTTTGGGTTATAGTGCTACGCTTTTAAACAATGCATCTATATTATATATCGGAGGTAGATTACATCCAGGATCCTTTGTTGATATTTCCTACCTTTTAATGGATAAGGTTTGATCTTATCATTATAGCGATAGTATTAGAATAATTTCTTTAAATTGCAGTGATGAATTGTTCTCATTTAATAATTAACTTTATAGGTAACATATACAAATCCATACAGAAAATTTATGATATTTAAACCGGTATTTTTTTTACTCACCTAACTTCGTGCATGATCGCTGTATAACTGTTGCTATAGTTACCGATGTATAATATAAATAATAACACTTGGAGTTTAATTTAAGTTATTTCCAAACTTGAATGCTACCTGTCACGAGGGCTTCCACGTTCAAGTTTTACTTTCCGGCTCAGCTCCCGACAATTTGATATCATGAGTAATTGAGAACAAGTTTTCTAGTCGTTTAATGCCAATGGCACAATGCAATCAGAATCTTCTATTGACGTGTCATCCAAACGATTAGGAACTAAACTTACACGTGTTTTAAATTATGTGGATTTTGCGATTGGCTCGATCTTAAGGAATACGCACATATAACTTTTTAAATGTATATTTCGTAAATCGCAAAATACACAGGACCCTGACGTACGCACGTACGTACGTACGTCGTTGATCAGATTTTTTTCAAGAGTTTAATGTGCATTCTCAAATCTTAAAAATCATGTTTCTTAGGTCACTTATCATTTATGATATATTTAGACTACATCTGGGAACATTCCTTACTCACGTAGTGACCACGGATCAGTCTTTATACGTATGCGCCATTTATTACCTTGATTTGTTATATTTTCGATTATGGTGATGACATTCCTTTTTTTATTGTTAATATAGCTCAGTATAATCAGATTTTAATATTTTATGGATATCCTGATTCTTCATTTATTGCACTTGATACCTTGAAATTCGTATGGTCATCTCCTACAATTTCATATAACGGTGGTTCTCAATATAAATTGATTCGTTTTACTTCAACGCTAATTGGCGCTTATTGGGCTGGAGCGGAGTGGAACGGAGTGTAAGACCTATCCATGGTGTACTAATTTAGGGTGATGTCCGGCTCCC